GCCCTCATACACTGGTAACCCACAGTCTGCAGTCTGTAAATCAGAGAGGACAAACACGACTTCCGGAAAACCATTTAGGACAGCGAAGGCAAAGTAAAGGGAGCATTTCCTGTCAGACACATCCTGTGGCTAACAGGAAATGCTGGTTAAATGATAGGTTTGCATAAATGAAGGGCTGCTCAGCTTGCCATCACACCCTTTAAATGGATTGTTTCCCTAAATGTATCTGACTCTGTGTTCAAAATGAGTGTAAATGTGAAAACAGTGATGCCTCTATCCTACGCTCTACAACACTGAACACTGTTTCTCCTCAAGTGCCTCACATTTATTGGTTAGTTCTCATACTGAGCACACCTTCTTTTTATAAACTAGCTGATATGTCTGAGCTTGCCATTGAGGTAAATCAAATTCCTGTTGACGAGGCCGTACTTTTGACTCCTTTTCCCAAGCTTCTTTACATGTTTGTCTCAGGTGGCCATTAATGTCTTTTCTCAATTCTTGCAGTTATTATCAAACTGGTTCATTCAGAAATCTCTGTCTTGATGAGGAGTGCCTGAACATGCATAAGTAAAAAAAAAATGAAGGAACAGATTTTAACACTATCTCCCATCCCTTTGCTGTGAGGGATGGAGAGTGGGAAGCAGGGCAGTTCTTCAATCAGAGGATCGGCGGTCACATGTCGATGTGTCCTTGAGCAAGACACAAAATTGCTCCCGTAGCTGTGCCTACGGTGTAGAAATGTGACAGAATCTGAATTGTAAGTCGCTTTGGATAAAAGGGCCTGCTAAATGACTGTAATGTAATGTAAAAAAAAAAAAAATAGGACTGAATGAATAGTGCCAGACAGACAAGGGCCAATTTACTTGTACCAGACGAAGCTAAATACACTCTTCAGTGTCCATGAAAACAGGCGGTTTAGAGTGTGATTTAACTCGGTCTGTACAAGATAGATTTTCATGTGTAAACAATTCAGTAATGGAAGAGAAATCACTTTCCTCTGGTTTTAATCCTGTAAAGCATCTATAAAAAGGGTTCGGTGGTGTTCTTTTTAGGAGACTTGGTGAAGTTAAATCAGAAAATGAATCTCTTTTTTGTGCTATTTTATGAGACATCTTGCCTTAGAGGGATACCACCAAACAATAAAATGGTTGGCTTTTTAAACGATGTTGCATAACTTTAATTTCTTTCTGTTTTGTAACAGTTTGGGTTGACTAACTGCTGTTTTCAAGGGAAATACCACGCAGTTAAAGAATTTATATTGTCAGGAGCAGCCTCGCCAGTATTTGTGAGTATCAACAACGCTCCTCCCTGGTCATAAATAAACGTGACGCGCAACTCTGGTTGTGACAACCCAGACTCTCCGGGCCATCGAAGACACTTTGACCTCTTCCTGTGTTGAATTTCCATGGAAGACAAGGATGTTCATGACGTGTTGAGCACAGTCCCCTTCAATCTTTGGTGACATCCTTTCAAAAACATGTGAGTCAGAGGTCAACAGACGACACCAATTAATAGTCTGCAGACACAATAATGCAAAAGAATTAAGATGGCACAGAAAGGCAGAAATGGTAAGTGTTTATGTAACTATTAATAAATGTACTTTTACATAAAGACTAAGAGTAAGTAAGTTATTAGGTAGTGAATTTCTTTTCTAATCTATTTCTCAGTCCAACCTAACTCTAGTTCATATTAGTGAATTCAGGTCACTGAGGTAACCAGATTATTTTTTCTCAAAGATAAACTGGCATTATTTTAAAAACAGTTTTTCTCTTATGCCGTGTTCACACCACACACGGCGCAAATTATTTGAATAATCGTGTGATATTTCTTTTTGAGGCTTGTTTGTGTGGATGACAATCATTTCTAAAAACGATGGTGAAATGTGGACGTAGATCATTTTCTTTTTAAAACCCTGTTGGAAATGGAAATGTATTAGTGTGGATGTAGTCTAAAAGTCAGGATATCTTAGCCACTGCTCCTTTAAATTTGAACACTCTTGTCGCCTCTTTTTGGAAGTGCAATGTTAAACCGCTTGAGTACCACTTTTATTCATGTTATTCTTACTCCTTTTTTAAACACGTTTAGCCATCATGACAATAAAAACCTACATTGTTTTATTTGCTGTGAGCCTTTACATAGCTGTGAGGGAGAAATGTCCCCCAATACACACATACACAATTCCAGAAAGATGGTGGAGATGCTGAACCCGAAGGAAAATATCATCCGAGACTCAAAGAGGCTAAGTGCTCATAAAGCTTTCAACCAAAATCATTATTTTCTTCAATTTTATTCGAGGAGAGGGATGTCAAGAGCAATATTACGTGCGTAAGCTCAGACACTGACGCATGTCTTATATTCTACACTTGGGTGAATAACACATTTCACTTAATATCATACACTCACACATTCACACATTCAAGCTTTGCATGTCCCACCACACCAGTCAGGGACCAAACGAGACAAGGCCTATCATGTCTCCTCTCAGTGAGAGCAGACGTTGTTGACTCACTGTAGTCTAGAAGCGCTCAGCCTGCATCCCACCACAGCTATGCACTGTCTGACCAGAGCCTCGGAGCAAGGGTGTGCAGACTCACACACTTTTATGGATGCATGCAAACATTACACAAACACAGTCAGACACACATACATACAGGTACATAGACACATACATATGTCAGTCCCACTTCTTCTCCAACTCTGCGGTTTTTCTCTTTAATCCACTCAGTCACAACACACCCAAGAGCAAGAAAACATGCACCTTCTTTTAGTCTCTCCATCCTTCAATTGCGCTACCGTCAAGACCTGACCGTTGATTACTTTATAATACAGTAATCTGAGAGAGTGTGTTTACTCTCTGTTAATGGACATTACACCTGTCAGACACTTCTGCAAAGGCTTTCTGAAAGGTGCCTGGATTAACCAGGGCCCCACGCAAAAATAAGCTTTTGGGCCCCCTTGGCCCCCCCCCTTCGTGCACTGTGTAATTACGGTGCACACAGCAGACTATAAATGGCAGCTTCATTATGAACCACTACTCCTGTGCTGGAATAATACCAGGGGTTGTTTTTTGTGCAAATTTGGGATCATTTGATTAAACACAATTTTGTTTAGAAAAGTGCACCATGTGAACGCGGTATGAAGTAAAAAATAATAATAATATAAAAATAGTGATGGTCTGAAAGGTGAAAAGTTAGGAGGCTTAAAAAAGACACATTAAAGCAGCTATAATCAATAGATCCAAGAACAATGTGAAAACAATGTGACAGGGGTTGCTTGTAGCAATGAACATACGACGAATAGTCACTGAAATCTCCAGCGTTGTCTCGTCTCCACGCAGGTTTACATCAAGTTTAGCTGTCCCGCAACTTTACTGCTTTGGTTTACCCTCACTGCTCTTATAGTGTCGCTTTCAGGCGCAGCAGGCAGCTGTTTTTTGCGGGAAAAAAAGTCTTAAAACACACTGTGTGCTACCTGCTTAGAACCAAATGGTAGACAGATACCCGGGGCTTTGGGGACCTGTTGTTAATCCAGCCTGCCGCACACCTGTGACCAGCACACACATATACAAAAGCAACCCACACGTACCGATGTGCAGCCACACATGCGTATAGCCACCCACAGTCAGACAGACAGATAGGGAAACACTTATTAACCAGTGTCTCACCACAAACACACACACAGACACAACCGACACACCCCGCCATGCACTGTCGTGGCCTTGTTTACTCATGACCATCACAGCTCTGCAGCACTCAACCCGTCATTCCACAGATTCCTGAGTCCCAGCACCATTTCATGTGCTTTGCAAAAAGACTTCAAGGACAGGAGTCGCATATGCATTTCTAGATAATGATGACTAATATAAAAAAGTGAATGATAGTGACGGATAATGTGGAGGCTCAGAGCAAACCATTTGCATTAAGTATAATCTAATTGTTCTGCACGCTGTCTTGTTTGGAGGGCCACACTGCAGTGACACATATTTGACTGAATATGACAGGATAATGAAAACTGGGACCAACTAGAGTTTACATAGCTTGCCTGAGAAGGCCTTTATCTCTACAACACTGCTCTGATTGCTCAACACACGCCCTCATTTTCTTTTGCCATATTTTCAGGTTTGGTTTTATAAAACAAGAATAAACAAAAGATGCACTCGTGATTTGTTTGACATAGAAAAGCAAGAGAAAGTGTCTGGCCAAAGGGTCATTTTCTGTATTTACTTTATTCTTTTAAATGCTTGGTTTCCTCCCACTGGGTAAAGCTACGTGGGCCAGGTGAACTATGTGAACTCTAAATTGCCTGCTGAGTGTGTATGTGTATAGCCCTGTGACAGACTAGTGACGAGTCCAGGATGTTGATCCTGTGACCCTGCACAGCAACATGCAGCTATAGAGACTAGATGGACGATTATACTGTAGATCCCACTGTGTCCATCTAATCTGTGCAGTCCATAAGCATAGAAAACATTAAGAATTCTCTGTGAATAAATAACGTATACCAATTTCACTTCACTAACTGACCCCTTAACTTTTAAACTGTATCTTAGTGAGCTTTTGTCCCCGTTTTCTTTAACCTTGACTGCTTAATTTAAGCGTAGTTCTTGCACCAATAGAAGTGCATCGGCCTTTGAGCAAATGTTAAATCACGATGAACATTAATAAAGAAAGCTGCTGCCATCTAGTGACGAACCCTGGACCTGCACAGGATGTCGACACTACAGCGACATTCATTTACTCACAGCTGTAAGCCCTCCATTCACATGGACACAGTTGGATGTAATATTTAAAAAAGATAACAAACACAAAAATCCATAAATGCTTTCAGAGTCACACAATAATTCACTGACAAACAGAACTGAGGCAGTTTTTTTTACAGACTACAATCATTACAATGATATATATATATATATATATTAATTTAAATCCTTTTAGGTTTGCCATGCTGTAGCACATATCGGTTGTGACTGTTTTTAGTGTTCATTGTAATAAGTAGCTGCTTATTATTAGGTCAAATACACAGTGTGCAGGGGCCAGCGGTGACAGTGTTGTGCAAGTCGGTATGCGGTTGCGTCATACGCCTGCGACACGTCCACCTTTAAGCGAATTTCAATGACAGTTTGTACACTTTGTACGTTTCTTTGATTAGACGGTGTAGTGAAACCGTAACGCGACTACCATGCACAGAGCCGCACGCACAGCTTTACACGACTGGTCGGATCCTGTCGGCTTGACAATGATCCGCCGGTGTTTAAAATGCAGAGGTAAGCAGGAGCGTTCACTTCAGCGGCGACAGCTACGAGCTACATGCTACACATGCTAACGCACTACACTCACCTGGTCGGGGTTTACGTGTAGCTATAACGTTAGCTTTGTTTTGCATTTGTTTCATAACTGCTGCTCTCCTCGTTATCAGTGAGTGAATATAAAGGTAGGAGTCACAGGGCGACAGCAGCGTTACTGGGCGTACTTATAACGTTAAGTTATTTAAAAGGGAGATATTGTTTGTTAATTTCAATAATTGCTATAACACAGAAGAACAGAAATTAGTAGCAATGTTGCTGTATTACATTTCCATCCATACGACTATTATTTTTAAGCATCTAAGCTTATAACTTAACACAGTTATAAGGCTGTGTTGTAACCACAGCCTTTATGTAATAGTTCCCCTGCAGCTGAGCTCACGTGCTTACGGTATAGTCCCGCCTCCACGCGACAGCGAGGAGAAGGACATGTTGGACCAAATTCTGCGCGTGGACCACGCAGGTGAATACGGGGCCAACCGCATCTACGCCGGTCAGATGGCGGTGTTGGGACGATCTAGTACCGGACCTCTCATCCAGGTGTGTGCAGAGTGCGACGCGTGGCATTGAAGGAGCACAGAAGTCCGCAAACTGCATCATTTTTAATCCTCCGTGTTTGTTTTTCTTTAGGAAATGTGGGATCAAGAAAAGAAGCACGTAGCGAAGTTCAATGAGATTCTGGCTGAGAACCGAGTTCGCCCCACAGCGCTGTTACCGCTCTGGAATATTGCTGGCTTTGCATTAGGTTGGTACCAGCCATACGCACACTGCAGAGTTTATAATACAGTTATGAGATAAAGTACTTTGAAGAACAAAGTAAGAAAGGCAATGTGCAGTCAGTTGCTGCTGTTATTGTTCAATCTTAAATGTGCATTTCTTTTGTTTTGAATCTACTGCAGGTGCGTCCAGCGCACTACTGGGGAAAGAGGGCGCCATGGCCTGCACTGTGGCGGTGGAGGAGAGTATATCCGAGCACTACAACAGCCAGATAAGAGCTCTGATGGAGAAGGACCCCGAGAGATACACGGAACTCTTACAAGTGAGTCGGTCACTGTGTTCTCTGTGACTCTGACACTTCCAGTACGTCGGCATCATGGTGATACATAAAGGATGTTATTGTACTCGTGGTACAGAGTTGATAGTGTTGCACAGAAACAAACAAGCATCGCAACAAAAGAATGCAGTGATGTCAAACATACACGTCACACAGGGGATCACAACAAATAAATATTCAAAATGGAGGGATCACGTCAGAAAAACATAAAAAAGATAGTTTAAATTGTGACGATGGCATCAATTTAAACAGCAGTTTGGAGCAACGAATGTCAACCATGTAAATAAGACGATTTAAAAAAATAAAATAAAAATAAGAGGCGCTCTAAAAGGTACATGATAAGCTTCCTGTTTGTGGCCTAATGAATGTGTTGTGTTGCATTTGAATAGGTTATAAAGGAATTCAGAGATGATGAGATGGAGCATCACGATACAGGACTGGAGCATGATGCTGAATCAGTAAGTATCATTTACTTCTCTTTCACTGCACCATGCACAGAATTACTGTCCACAAAAGCTTGATTAGAAGACGCCTTGTGACATCAAAGTACACTACAAAACATAAATATCAGTAGTCATTTACACCAGTATTGAGCTGTCTTTGCAGTATTTAATGAATGGCATTTAAAGTACCACGATCTAAGTATGTTTTATGTGTTTTAGGTTCCCGGATACTGGCTGCTAAAAACTGCAATACAGCTTGGCTGCAAAGCTGCAATACTTGTTTCTCAGCGTGTCTAACGTTATATATTTGCTCTGCTGTTTGTTTGATTTATTGACGCAGTTTGTATAAAATTATTTGAATTTGAATTTGAATCCCGCTCCATTGTAAATGAAACACTTTGTCACATTATTTAAAGTATTGTACACAAACATTCATAGTTGCCTACATGAAGCAAAGTTGTACTTCTCTGTACAGTGTATAGTACACCGACTGTTTAAGGCGGAGGAGGTGACTCTTCCTGAATTAAACAGCAGATCTCTGCCCTGTTGTGTACATGTCGTCTCACTTTCTTTGTCCCGATGCTTCCTGTGAGATGCAGCTTGCCTGATAAGTAATGTTAGTGAGAAAATTAGAAAAACACGTTTGCAGTATTGAGAGTAGGCTTATATCAGCAATTAGCTAATATAATGTTTAATGAATGTTTCTTTTCTTCCTGATATCTGAGTGATCTTGGACAAAATACAAAGATCTCACACTTGCTGTTCACCAAAAGGTAAATACCTAAAATACATGTAATGAGGACGTATTGTTACGAGCATACACAGCCATCACAGCCTTCAACAAACTCTCCTGTTTCACATGTAATAGTTCATATATCAAGCTGAGCAATGACTTGTCATCCTGGCCTAACTGTCAGCGTCCTCACACAGCTGTTCTGGGTACATTAGGTCACTGAGGAAGAGGGATTGACAAGAGGCTTGTCCAGGGACCCCTGATCTATTAGGCCTCTCAGCAGGCTGAGCAGAGGGTTTCATCCCCTCCGAGTCAGTATTAGTTTGTCCTCGGTGCACACCGAGTACTGACCCGAGGCCTTTCTACCCATAGTTTAACCTTTCCATGCACTTGGAGCATGATGATGCGTTGATTTATGGCCAGCTGATGGGACTCAAATCTTCTGATTATAATGTGTCTCCTGGCTCTATCAGGCAGTGAGTGCGGCTCAATAGAAAACCTCGTACTTTACAATATATGTGAACACAGATAACAACATAATGCATCAAGCGGTTGAGCCACCACAAGTCTGTGGATGTCTGGACGGAAACGCCATTCTTCCAAAAGATATTTACTTCTTTTGTGTTTTGATGATCGTACGCACAGAACCCTGTAAGTCTGCAACTGTTCTCAGACTATTTAATTTCCTATCTTTACGAAATGAAATGCAACAAATACATACAAAGACATAAATTGCTCATTTTTATTTAGGGATTAAAATTCAAGAGTAAACATTTTAAATTAGGCAAAACGATGCCCCGATAGCTGGATTGGGTATCTGATACCATTATTTTAATACACAGTTCAGTACATTTATACTGATGTATTTAATACATTTTGTTTTAGAAAGTTAGACTTCCACATAGAAGAATGATCCCGGTCTCTTCCACACAGCGAGGCATTCAGTTTATTGATCAAACACTGCTATTTTTAGGATAATCATTGTATTAACATAGTTCAGGTCTTTCCTTTATTTCATCACCTGTCTGTATATCGGTGTCTGGACTAAAAGTGTTTCACTGAGATGAGCTGTTCTCACCCAGGTTCACAGGCTCTGGTCTATTTTTCCGAGCATGAGGTCAGAGGAGTTCTTTTAGCCGGGGTAGGCGTTTGCATATCAGACCTGACCTCGAGGGTTAATGTGCCGTATTGCCTCCATTTCTTCTGTTTTATAGACAATATGTTAATTGGCTAGAGTTGCTGATCACAACAATGCCCTTTTATGATCTCTGTGTTCTGCTACAGTTGTTTCTACATGTTCTAAGCCATAAAACACTCACTATCTTACCTGCACTGAATAGAACAAGAAACGCTTTTCCTTGTGTTAATAAAACAAAAAGTCACAAATGTCACAAGAGGTCACCTCACTCAGTAATACGAGACAGTGGGCAGCGTGCAAATCAGAGGTAGAGGATCAAACATTCTCTCTGCCCAGATTAATAGTGCTGACAGTTTTATAGCAAGGTGTAACTGTTTAAATAAAGAAACAAAAGCACAGCTCCATCTGCAGCACCATGTTGGGTGACGAAATTACTGATAAATAAAAACAGGAGTGATGACTCGGTGAACACTCAGGTGTTAATAACCGAAAGCCATCAACTTTACATCTAAATCAGCTGTCATTGTTGAGCTATAGACGTAATACTTTTTAATAATATCACTTTTATTTTCAATTTCACTGAATCCGAAAGTTAACATTCTGTGGCCGTCAGGAGTTCATGTGAACTGTTTAGGTTCATTTCTCAGAATTCAAGAGGAATCTGCTGAAACACTGACTGAGAAATTGGCAACGAGAATTTATGAAAAGGGCAATAAAACTAAACTGGGACTGTCTTCATACCCGTGAACAATTTGGGTTGTAAATTTTGAGCAGCACGAATAATACAAATCCTTATAAGTCATAAAAGCTTTCGGATACAGATTGTATTGCTTCTTGGCTTGGCTATATGCAGACTGTCAGTCAGCGGGCCTTTCTGGGGTTCATGGTAACTAACAGATAGCCAAGATCCATCGGTATCATTGAGTAACCTCCGGGGACTGAGAATCACCATAAAACAGTACTGTGGTAGTCCCATAGTCATAGCATTCTTTCATATTTTGTAAAGTGCACAAACACATGGATCATATCTCCCATTAGTTCATTTAAAATGATAGAATATACAGAATAATCATAAAACAAACGTCTCCTAGTCTGTGATGAGATATAAGCGTATATACCATTTTGAGGAGTCAGGTTGGAAGAAAGAAACAGCACACAGGGGAATATATATTTAAACTTACTCCAGCCAGTGTCCTCCCCAACATAGAGAGGTTTGTTAAAGTTGGACCATCGTGGTTAATCAAGGTTTAAGCTGTTGGACACTCTGGCGGGATTGAAGGGAATAGTTCGACATTTTGGGAGTTAGGCCTATTTGTGTTGTTGCCGAGATGAAAACATCGAGAGTCACTTCAATCTTCTCATCGAACTCTCAGCAAGAAAGCAAATAAGCATATGTTCCAAGATGTCTTTATATTCATGCTTTAAAGTACTGATACTGCATCTGCTTGTATTCCCCAGTCCCTAATCTCCTTAATACAGAGAATAATTGTCCACATTCACTTTCTTTATTTGTCCATTATGCTGAAAGGTCTGTCCACCGTGGGTATCCTCCTGACATGATGTGGCTGAGCGTGGACATCATGACATCATGTTTTATCTGATGAGCTCAGCCCAGTTGACTGCCTCGGGCAGTAAAGTTAACGCAGATGCTAACTGTCATGTCACCATGAATTTTATGTGCAAATCACGTGCATACTTATTAAGAGCATGCATTGATCCGTGATCCTTTAACAAGGGCTTTCCAGAAGTGAGGGGCCATTAAGTCGAACTGACTCAGTCGGGCTTTTCATATACCTTTGGTTATTTAGGTCAACTATTCACATGCAGCAGCATGGGCTGAAAAACAGCCCGACTTAGAAAGGCAACTCTATAAATAGAAAACATTTTACTGTTCTGTGGTATGTCTATGCATATAAATACCTGTAGTGTGATGTCACTGTATGCTTTAGATTACTGTGTTGCAGATTGAAACTTTGTTTTATGGTTTTACAGAGTTTTTTTCTTGCTTGTGACACATACATTAATATTTTCAAATTGTTCTGCTGAAATATGCATGTGTGCATGTCGACGTGCATCCAAATACTTAGACCCATGATAAATCTTTTGGGTGACTGAGTGGTGTGTGTGTGTGTGTGTGTGTGTGTGTGTGGCCTGAAAGAGCTGTAAACCACGTGTCCACATGTCTCCACAACACATCATGCAACGGGCTGACATCACTTCAGCTGGAATGTCTGATTTACAGCCTGCCACACTGGCCCATCCACCAATCGCTTTGGAGAAAGAAGAAGCGCACCAAGGTCAGTCTTCGAGGAAGGTTCATCAGGACAAACATTCTCAAAATGAATCTTGTGATGTTGCACCGTTTTCATCAAATCATCACAACAAACAAGCGTGCGAGTGTTGCCAGAGGATGAATCCTGATTCTTGATTCCCTGAATTTCCCCTCAGGCAACATCAGCAGGTCGAAGTTGACCCAGTGAAATACCTCAGCATGCACTGGATGGACTGGCGCAAAACTTTGTTCTGCCTTCACAGTGTTCCCTTAACTTTTGTGCAACATTAACATATAAAATGACATTCCCATCCACCCCAGTTGTTCTTTTAATGCTAATTAGCAAATGCTGAAAATACCAGCACGTAGTGGTGTAACGGACCAGTGTTGATCCGTGATCGGTACGCACGTGAACCGCGGATTCATTACACAGTTTAACGATAACCAGCACAGTGTGAATTCAAGTGTTACCGAGGATCGCTATCCGCCGATATTCAGTAAATTATGCGATCAGGACATCTGCATTCATGCTTTTCCAGTCGCAGATCTCTGATAATGTTACATTGTAAACGTGTTTAAATGGACACGAGGAGAGCGATGGTTCGTTCAGTTACATTATGATGCGTTCAGGCTCTGTTCAGTAAAAATGAGGTCAATTATAAAGTTATGATGATGTGTTCACGTGTAATCTCGTAAAAAATAGTGTTAGTGACAAAAACATAAATGGATATTAAAGATGAATTACAAGCTTATAATACATAATTTAAACTACTGATAATAAGATTTGTTTTAATCCATAAAAATACAATCTTTTATTTCCTTATTATGTTAATTGTGTGTTGTTATGAGAATAAAAAAACAATATAGATAACTATAACAAAGTCATCTGTTATCACAAGATAACATTTAGAATTTTTGATGGTTAACAGACTTTCAGAGCGGTTGAAATTATTTTTGGGACGGTGGCAAAAAAAATATTCTGGAGCCTTGAAGACCAGCTGCTATAATCAAATAACAATATGGATCAGCAAAACACAGTGATCAGGGATCTCTAAAAGTTATATTTGTGATGATCCAATCCGTGATCCGATCTGAACAGTGAGCTTTGTGATCCGTTGCACCACTACTAGCACGCTAAACTAAGATTAAAATTATTAAAAGTATACTTGCCAAACATCAGTATGTTAGCATGTTCGTTTAAATTGACCTCAAAGCACAGCTGTGCCTACGGACAACCTAATAGAGCTGGTTGGATGGTTGTCCTGTCCTCACTTTAGTGGTGTATTAAGTCCTGCAGACCTTTATATTCCTCGCAAATCACAGCCACATAGCATAAGTTGGCAAGCTGATTTCTATATGCAGAATGTCCAAACTTTTTCAGGGTGTGGATTCTGAGGTATATGTAATGAACCCACAGTATTAAGTGGACAAGAAAACAGACATCAAGGTGATATTTATCTGAATCTTCTCTTATCAGATGGGGCTTGTGCAGCTGTTTCCACCCTGTGCTGTGCGATAGTGGAATTGTTGATCAGGTGTGAAGACTTCTTGTTGAAGCCCAGCACGGCGTGACCCCGCTGCTGGTATCCATCACTGCACTGACAGGCCTGGTGGTTCATCCAGCATGACTCCAAGGCCACGTCGCTGCTCCACTGTGTCACAAGTCCCAAAGACAAGCTGATCACTCAAGCACAGTATGCACCCACCCCATCCCCTTTCAGAACCAGTGGCCCACTTTGGCAGGAAAAAGATTGTACCCTGATGGAGAAGATAACATTTTCATGGCAGAAATTGTTTGAGGAAAAAAACAGGGTACAAGCAAGTTGCATGACTTGATATCTATCTATCTAATCTCACAATTTGTCCTTTACACATCTTTGACTGTTTAGGATTGTGGTTTTGGTATTCATACTCGGGGTGGAACATATTTTGCCCGGATGAAGGTACGTCTGGCACGCCGATAAGGTGGACAGAACGCATAGTTGGATTGTGAGAGGTTCAGCAGAGTGAGCTGCAGCTTCTCGCAGCACACAAAACGTATTTGCCTGTCAGCTATCCGATACTATGCCTGTTACATCACCATCCCAACCCTCCTAAATCCAACAGCTTGTATTCGTGCCATCGACCCCTCCTCCATCTATCACACTGATGCATTGGCAGTTGGCAGAAGGTTACCACGCAAGGCCTCTTAACACCTGGTTTTAGGGATAGCTTTGCCCAACCCACCTGCTAGCCTCCTGCAATGGCCGAGCACTTCGCACTGATCCCGCTAAGATCTGCCTGTCATCCTCACTGATTGAATGGAGAGTGTTACTCCAACCAGGTCTCATATCTCTCGCCTGAGGCTTGTTTTCATGTGGCTTGTAAAGATGCCACTCTTATCTCCTATTAATCATGGGCCTCTTTTCCAAGCTATGCTCTCCACTGCTGGTGACAACATAGATTCAGAGGGATGCTGTTGTAGATTGTCAAATTACACCCAACATGGCAGAGGAGGCTGCGAGGCATGATTGTGGTATGGTTCACAACCTTATGGAAGGTTTTATTGTTGAATTCTTATACAAATATGAGTTTTGATTAATCTTACAACAACAGCTTGTTGATTGAAGCACACTAAGGTTTGAATATGTTGTTCATACGGTGGGATTTTTGGACTTGTTACCTGTGAGTTACAACCTTTCTGTGCTGTTGTGCGGGCATAAGAATCCAGCACATGACGGCTGTCTCTGGTTCGCTCGTTCTTTGAAGCTATCAGCCGACAAATATTCTAGCTGGCGACCGGGCCTTCAGCTCTTGAGGTTGGTGATGACACGCATGCTCAGCAGACAAAGTGCCCGGACCACCCTGGCTTTAGGTGTCCTGACCTTGGAGGTTGGCTGTGAAAAATTACAACACAGTGGGAGAAAGAATGCCTCCCGTGCTGCACAAGGGGTCAGGCTGTTGCCCCCGTCAGGGTGAAGTTCAACATGTCTCATGAGCCCCTTACAGGTTATGTAAAATGTTTGTTTTTCTGAAGGTATAGAGACAAATGTAAAAGACTTCAGAAGTGTGTCAGGTCTCTCTTTGTATATGTTTGCGTGCGTGTGTGTGTGTGTGTGTGTGTGTGTGTGTGTGTGTAGTGGTATGTGAGTGTCTGTTCTAGATGCAAAGAGGGACAATGTTTGACAAGTTGGATGAGTTGAATCACTGGAGGGGTAGCACACAAATTCACTTAAATCCATTGATCTGAAGCCTGCTGTGAAAAACGCATCATTCTGTCCAATCCCATATCAAAGAAAAACAAAATAGCAGCAATGTCATCTCTCTGTTCGTGACATTCTAGCGAAATGGTGATAGATTTACAGCAACTTCTTTTGGTTTTCAGCTATTTGAGGTATCTGTTAAACAGATTGTTGCATTGATTTCTGGGAAGACAGATGGTGGTGTGCATGCTTCAAGACAACTGAAGGAATGAAGAATTGTTCAGCTCGGTAGATCAAATTCAGTATAGTTCTGTCCTTAGGGTACATTTTTATTGCGCGTAGGTGTATACGATCTCACAGACATATTTTTGACTAGCTTTGTTTTCTTTCTGGCCATAGTTGAAAGTAGATAGAATAGCTTGAAATGCTTGAAGATGAGACAAAAAAAATTTCTGACAAAGCAATGAGACAAACCGTGATAAATCTGTCTGCCTTGTTAACAAGTCTTTAAATGGTTAGCTCATTATTGCAGACGACATTACCGACAATTTGATCTTCTTTTGCCAAAAAGAGAATGAAAATCTTGAAGACACCAACAACAAAGACTAATATTCTGCTACCCATTTTACTTTTTACCATTTCATAATGTTTTTATTTAGATGTAAACTGAAGGTTTATTGTGTTTTTTCTTTTCCTCCGTGTTCAACTCATTCTGCTGTCACCCAGCACTCCTCTCAGCCCCGGCAGCCTCAGCAGCATCTGGCCTTCCGAGCAATCATTATTTGACTTGATTGACACGTCAGGATGGTGTGCATTTCGTTGTTGAGAATTTAAGAGCCCTTGGCCTCATGAACCTTCAGCGATCAGTGGTACGTCACCCTTCAGCCATCCTAGTGGCACAAGGCTGGATTACAAACTAGGCAAAGCGGGCAACTGCCCAGGGGCCCCAAAAAGTGTGCTACATGTCATTTACACAATGAAAATCAATTTGAACCGCTGAAGGAGATTATCAAATGCGATGGGTCCTGCATCTCATTGTTTACGAATCAAAAATGTCACTGGCAATAACTTTTTTTATTTTTTTCGGATGTTTAAAAATAAGAAACTATATCACTCTTTAAAGAAGTTTTGGGCTTGTTGCTTCAGCCAACTAGAGTGTCCACCATCTGTGCCTTGAGAGTGTCCGCTAAATTGTTGACCATGCGGGAACCCTTACGGTACTATTCGTTCCCATGGCGGAAAGTGTTTGAAGTGTGTACTCCAATGACCTCGGGGTCACATACCACACAAAGGGGCGATGCAGTTATGCTTACCACTGGCGATCAGAGATGGACGATGGAAGGGAGAAGGAGAGAGACAATAGGGGGAAGGAGAGCTCGTTCTTGAGCCATGGTCAGAAGGGAGAGAGCTAAGTGGTGGGTGTGTGCAAAGACTTGAAATGTGTTGAGAAACGCGTGTGTTATCGTTTCTCCTCGCCACTGGCCGTCCAGTACCTCCCCTCGCGGTGTGTCGTCAGCAGTTTATCTCAGGGTCTGGCTGGAGCTGCAAGTGAAAATGGGAGGAAATCTGATCCATATGGTGGCACTATAAAGCTCACAGCTGATTTTCAGGCTTCATCAAAACCTGGTCAAGGCTTCATCTCTACTCTTGACTGGCATCCTCCTCTCACACCTGGTCACTGCGCTCTGAAATTCCCACTTTGTCCTCAGCAGCACCAGTGGTCTGCCTGACCCCTGGGGTGCCTCAGCTACCGTCTTCAAAGCTGATTCTTCTTAGAGAAGTAAGTAAATTTCCCGGTTGAAAAGTGTTGGATTTAATGTAGACAAGTTATGGACAATTAGATGAGGAAGATTTGGTCCAATCATGTTTTTTATGTGCATGTATGTAGCCAGATTATGAATGAGTAATTACGCATTGCATGTATCTGTTCTTCTTGTGTTGCCTTCAGATATGAAGGTACTAGACAAGGTTGTTTTCCTGCTTTTGCTCGGGGGAATCTGGTGTCAGAACAACCGTAATGCTAAAGCTAGTGGCAAGTCCACCAAGAAGTCTGGGGGCAACCAAGGAGGTGATGTTGACCAGTCTCCCCTCGTGGTTGATCTGACTGCTGGAGCAGCTGGAAGCATTGGCAGCACTAGAGGCACTGAAAGCTCTGGAAGCACTGGAAGCTCTGGGAGCTCTGGAAGCACGAGAGGAACTGGAAGCTCTGGAAGCTCTGGGACCTCTGGAAGCACTGGAAGCACTAGAGGCACTGGAAGGTCTGGGAGCTCTGGAAGCACTAAAGGCGCTGGAGGCACAGCTGAAGCAGGGCGGGAGGGTGCTGCAGGAGCTCGTGCAGCTGAACAACAGACGGATGACATGAGGCTGCACTTCCTCAAGAACAACCAAGTTACATGTAATGATGGAACAGCGGCTGGGTGAGACGTTCTCGAGTTTTGTTGTTTGTTTCCTGAAGAGGAAATTACGAGATTTTTGCCGTTTGCAGATAATACAGTGATTTTAGAAGCTACATAGAACATCAGTGTGTCCATACATGGCTGCTTTATATCCACCATCTCCTCATTCCTGTTTATTTGTGGTTCTGCAGGTTTTACCTAAAGGAGTTCAGAGGAAGCCGCCGATGGCTGTTATTTCTGGAAGGTGAGTTTTTAAAAAGCCAACTGGTTAAATTGGTCCCCAAAGGTCAGCTTGTTTTGGCGTGATGCCCCCATTGGAATTTTGATGGGGATTTCATCTTGTCACTTCTTCTCTGTTATTCTCCTTTTTTAGTTACTGCCTGTCACTTCGATATACTTTGAATGAGGGGAAATGTATGTGGATTGTCCTCCAGCTTGACTAACGTATTCTGAGAGCACAGGAGAGGAGTGCATCACTTTTACGGAACACAAGCATTTCACCTGGACTTTCTAAAACAGGATATATGATTTATTGGTGTATTATAATGAGTGGTAGCGTGTAATACATTTTTCTAAATTCAATCAAGTCAAATTCTCTCCCCCTTTTTATGTCAAACCCACAAATCAGCTGCTGACAGTTTGCAAACTAAAGGAATCATTCGTCTTTTTTGTCCAACTCTGAGCAAACATATAGTCTCGTTAGCAGACCAGGCTACAGGTGCATTCCTTTCCCTCTCCATTCCTCAAAGGCCTCTGTGATGGGCTAACAAGGGTCTCCCTTCTGTGCCTGATGTGAATGTCTAATATTAGTCTCTATTATTTTTAGGTGGCTGGTGCTGCCACAGCAAAGATACCTGTGATTCCAGGTACCAAAATATACCCAGACTAATGAGCTCATCGGGGTGGCCCCAAACAAAAAGAGGTAGGTCGGCCGGCCTTGTTTTAAAATGCATGTCATACTGTTCCCATGATGTTGCTCGTTTTACGTACCCTTTTGTGAGACAAATGGACATCTGTGTGGTGTCTGATTGCTGCATTTACAGGAACTGGAATATTGTCTTCTCAAGCGCAGGAAAACCCACACTGGCACAACTCAAACATTGTGTAAGTACTTGTATATCTTCACCGTGTGTCTTATTGTGACTATTGGAAGTGTCACATGCAGACAATCCGTGTTTGTTAATGTTTGTTTGATGGAGACATTTCCCCATCCACAATTCTGTAGACATCAAAATATGATCTCATGGCTTATATTTAAAACAGCAATAAATCACTTTTGTTTGTGCCTATTGTTGGCATTGTCTTTTCTTACTTACAGCTGCATTCATTGTTTTGTTTTTTTGGCCGCTTGGTGCTGGGCAGGTAGTGCACCATGTTTTTTTGTAATGCTTTTTTAATTAAAAAAAAACTGCCTGTTGTTTCTGGAAGGGGTCGGCAATATTGGTGAGCGTGAGCCAAAACAGTAAAGATGCAGGCTGCAAAACCAAAACAATGAGATGAAAAATGTTTAAACACTCGACAGAACTGAGGGGAACTAATATTGTGGGAATGAGTGTCGGCATGGTCACTTGATCCAGTATATGAATATATAAGACTACCTACCTTTAAAGACATTTTAAAACACAATCTTCCAACTAGTATGACCAACAGCTAAGTGAGATTTGTACAGGTTTGCCAGTTTCTAATAAATGACAGAAGAGATGACCTTCACGGAGGAGAGGTGGAGTTGTTTTGATGGCCTCAAGCTTTTTTCTAACAAATGCGATTGTCTCCTTTTCTGCAGATTCATCCCGTACTGCTCCAGTGATGTATGGAGTGGCACGGGGGTCGCCCCGACCCCTCCTCCAAGGCTACGGCAAGGCAAGGAGAAGGAGAGGGATAGAAATACAAATGCAAGTAAGTTTCTCCAGATCCTTAAAGTTTTTTTCTGTTGTTTTTCTTGTCCTGTGTAGTATCCTGCTTCCAGTTATTCAGTTATTTGATGTGTGTATTTGTTATCAGCTGAGTACACCTTCATGGGATCCCTGATTATCCGCGAGGTTGTCAAAGACCTCATCCCCAAAGGAATCAAGCAGGCCAAGGTTGTCATGCTGTCTGGCACGAGGTGAGTTTGGTTTATCGCTTGCACGCTGATGCTGACCACAGCTTTTGGACAAGAGCCTGCATCCTCTGCACCATCTGGACCGTCTCCATACCCAACATTAAACAAGTGAAGCTCTATTTTGGGTGCTTCCTCTTGTCAACAATAAAGACATAACGTCTATTAAAGGGCCTTGCCCTGTAATGGTGAACATTCCTCCCAGGTTAGCAACATGGTTGTTTGGACTCCCCCAAGACCTAAAACAAGATCCACTGTCTGAATGGGAACAGCTGGCATGCGCTGTCATTATGATACCCCTAAAAAACATGGTACTCTCAAAGCCAAGCTATTTATTATATTTTTATTTTCTTGGCTCTGCTGCAGTGCTGGGGGAACAGGTGTTTTGCTGAACATCGAGAGGGTGGCCAGTCAGCTGGAGCAGCTCGGTGCAGAGGCTCAGGTCCGAGGCCTCGTGGACTCTGGATGGTTTCTAGAGAGTAAACAGCAGAGGTCACCCAACTGCCCCGAGACTATTTCCTGCTCACCTGAAGATGCTATCAAGATAGGACTCAGGTGAAGTCATGCATTCTTCAGTGAGCCTATATAGAATATACGTAAAGAAACACATTCATCGGGCCAGCAGATACAGAAATGATCTTTCCTTTGCCGTCCCAAATATAACAGTGCTCCTTATATTTGGTTTTATCGTTGAAGCGATTGAACAATATATTTGTGTGTATTAAAGGTGTGTGTTGTGTTTTCTCAGGTTGTGGAACGGGGTTGTACCTGACAGATGCCGGCAGCTCCATAAGAGAGGAGAGGAGTGGCAGTGCTTCTTTGGCCACAAACTGTACTCTACCTTGACCTGTGAGTGCTGGCTGGGGCCTCCTAAGTTTATCATGACCAGTGCAGTGCCCCTTGAAAACATGCCTGGTCAGAACGGGTCGAACGCTTGGCCAGTGGTGTTGCTGCTTGCAGAGCAATACACCTGCCATCACGTACGCTCGGTCAGAAACAGAAATAGGGTGCTACACGGGGAAAAAGACACCAGGTCACAATTCTCTGTCTCTAGGTTCATCACTATGAGCGTCACCATTTTCCATTGCACGTGTTCATATGAATATATTGAGAGCATCTTTAAAACTGAACTATTTGTTTTCCCTGTAGCCCCTCTGTTTGTTGTCCAGTGGCTGTTTGATGAGGAGCAGCTGAGAGTGGAGAACATCTACATGGGAGGACAGAGTCTGTCCGAGGAGCAGTGGCAGTACATTCAGAACCTGGGCAGGGAGCTCAAGATCTCACTGAAAGATGTCACGTAAGATCCCCAAAACCTGTTTGGAAGAAAAGTGATATCAACAGATCTATAATAAGCATCGGGTGGTTTAAAACAAAGTTGGACAAACATCGAGAGATGGCTGTATTCTTCTGTTTGTGTTTTTCAGGGCAGTGTTTGCTCCGTCCTGCCTCTCCCACACAGTGATTACCAGAAGGTAAGACTGGATATATGACTCCTTTGGTGGTAAGGCACTTTCATGCCTCCCGCCTCTCACTTTATTCTCGACTCTACCAGTAGTCATCTCTACCTAGTGAGCTCATGCTGCTGTTTTTGTTTGCTCGTTCATCACACCACATTCTTCACGTCACCAAATGCCATTTCACACTTTCCTTAACCCCTCGGTACCCCTTGAACACACTCATTATTTTGCCGCACAGATGGATATTGATGGGTCAGTGCTCGGGTCAGGCTAAGTTAGGAGTGTTTAATGAGGGCGAAGATTCTTTATGGGAGGAGCTGAAGGTCCAAGGTCATTGGAGGTAATTTTGCAGTTGCTGTTCTGGGTAACCCTTGCTGCAATAAAATGATGAGCCAAAAGTGGCCAAAGCAAATTGCAAATCTTGTGACCAGTCCATGACATCACTGATGACACTGTTCCGGTCTTTGCTATGCTTTCTGCCACCCTTTCCCTTCACTTTTTTCTTTCTCTAAGTTTGCCTCTTTTTATTTCTAATCCCTAACTTCCCTGTCTTGTTGTTCTTCCAGCAACTGGATGAGTTTCCAAATTAAAGGCACCTCTCTGCCACGGGCCCTGCACTGCTGGGACAGGAGTCTGGAGGCCACCCGCAACAACAGAACCCCTGCCAAAGGCTGTCCTTTCCAGCTGGTGGACACCTGCCAGTGGCCCCAGTGCAACCCCACCTGCCCAGCCTTGGTGGACCAGACCACCCAGCAGGAGCTCACTTTGCTCCAGATGCTGGTCGCCATGGGCCTTGACCTCCAGAAGCTGGGCCTGGATCCCCAGGAAGATGCAGATTCTCTGGCCAGCGTGGTCAGCAATGGTGGCTAAATGTAAAAGTGGATAGAAGCTTGAGCCATGCAAAGGCTTAATAGAAGAAATAATGTGTTGAAATTTTAATGTAACCATAGAAATAGAACAGAAATCTGGTTACTTGGTCTTGTGCTGCTCAGCATTCCATTATGCTTCATGCGTCTGTTAAATTGGTGACTTGACTGGTGGGTATGTCACTGAGTCCGAGTGGTTTGGCTGTCCCTCTACTGGACACTAGAGGAAAGAGCTTTGGGTCTAAATCAAAGGTGTTTCAGTTGTACTGGTTAAATAGCTTTGAGTTTCAGCAGATGGCTAGACATACTGTAGGCTCACATTAACCCGATCATTTGTTTTTCACACACACAGTTCCAAAGACACTGATTGCGATTTCTGTGACTTAGTTTTAGTCTCTAGCTCCTGGTGGTGAACGTGCATGATGCTCTTCTGTATATGCCGGCAGGAGTTCAACTATTTAACATGGGACGTCTGCAGTAAATTGATAAATTTGCCTTAAAAACAACAACGCTGTGGTTATTTACCACTCAGTTGTCAGGATCATCTCTTTAGTGACATGCATGGACATAATACAGACTTTGCAATCCTAGTTGTCAATATTTGCAACTCATGCTTCTTTCACAATGTTGTGTTTTGCAAGGCATTTTCAGATGTTACTGTATCTGTATGTTTTATTTTCATCCACTGTATGAATGATAATGATAATAATGTGACAAGAATCGTACCTGCTGTTAACAAGGATCAGACTGAGTTGTTGCTCATGTTAAAACAGGGAATAAAGATTCTAATTTGACCTGTTTGTGGTTCATCAAATTCTGTTTGTTGATTCTCTTGAAGTCTTTATTGTAACACAATCATAAGCTATATGCAAAAAGGTGAAATGAGAAGATGCGTAAGGTCTCTGACCTCCGACCTAGTTTTCTTTCAGACTGAAAAAGCCTCACAGAGTTTCTTATAGAGCACTAATCAGTATCTGTTGATCCATAGGGAACTATATACTCAATCAGTCTGAGGAGCTTACATCTCAAAACATATACTCTTTATGTATGATGAGTAATTTAATGTGGATAAAAGAGGACATTTCAATTACGCAACACCAACTGCTTTGTATACATAAAATGAGATAATGCAAAAATAAAAACTGGTCTTATATTGAAAAGGAAAATAATTAAAGTTGTTTCTTAGCTTGTGTCAATGAACCTTCTGAAAGAAACAAACATGTCTCCTGCTTTATCTTGGCATTTTATTTTATTAAATTCTTAGATTTGATTATATGCTAATCTCAGTTGGCAATAAATAACACACATTTTCTTCAAAGTGTATGTACATTAAATTCCACTGCTCAGCAGAAACACTATTTAAAAGATTGCACAAATTCGGGCATCATGCTCGCAAATGTGAGACCAGCAGAAGTGACAGGACACATATTAAAGACTGCCTTGAACCTATGATGTAGCTGGGCCTCTTCTGTTTTATGACCCACCATGACAGTACAGATATTGTGCTTTTGGAAAATTTCAAAACAAAGATACCCTAATCTACGATTAATATTCTAAAAAACAAAAATTAAACTTGTCAACCTTCCTTTGCTGCCATGACATGGTCATATCATCCTTCTTGCACTGAAATCGACTGTGCATAAAAACAGGAAATCGGCTTTGTTTTTTAATGTGCTGAAAATAAATATTTGATTGCACTCAGAAGGACGTATTGCTCTAGATAAGAACATTAAAATATGATTGTAAAATACACTATGCATATATTTCGCACTAGCTAAACGCAATGGAACGGATACAAATGTATGCATGCAATTTTACATCCTTACTACTAAGAGGCGCTGTTTTAAACTTGACACATGATAACTAAAGATGCTGCACGTATCTGATGGTGAAACCTGGTTGAAAATGTTTTTTTGTTTTTGGCCGAAGGCCTTAAAGCTGTTTTTAGAAGCCACATTACCGGGAAACATGTAAATGTGCAAATAGTCTCTGTATCGTTTTATATTGGCACAGCGGGCGTGCAGTGCGTTTCTGATGAAAAACATAAAGTCATTTCACGGTGGTGGGGTTCATCTTAGTTTAAAAAGGTCTTGGATTTTTTCCCATAATGCATTGCCGTTCGCTTCCACTTCCTCTTTCCGCCATATTGCAGAACCGGTAAGATGCCCTTTTTCACTGCCACTCTCAATCTTCTAAGTATCTCAAGCATCTGCATGTTATATGTCCCATTTATGTGATCATCTTGAAGCGTAAGTTCATATTAATGATTTGGGAGTATTATCGCCTCGATTGGTGGGACGAGTTAAACACAACCGGACTACAAATTTCACCGGACAGTACCTCAGCTCGGCCCTGGGAATTGGTGCGTTCACTGCGCCTGAAACGGCTAGCTTCGAAACCACAGGAGTGTTTTACTTCAAACAAATAAGACACATATATATATATATATATATATACGCTCTCCGTTGATATGCGAGGCTAACATTGTGTCCGTGGTCGACACGTCGTTGAACACTATCTGGGGGATGCTTTACTACTATGTCAGTGTAGCGTAGTCGGCTAAGCTAGCTAACGTTAGCTTCTTGGTGCTCATGAAGGACCATGCTTTGTGGGAGTCTAGCGTATTTAGTGTTACTCAAGCGAATTATATGAGTATCTGCTGCTGCGCGTAAAATTCGGCTGGTATCTGCTGAATATGTATCTCACGTAACTTACCAACGTTAGCCTTGTTGATAGTAACGCTACCTGTGTGTGAGAAAGGCACTAGTCGTGACATAATTAGTGCTAGCCAGACTGCTTACTGGAATAAAGTGTCATGGGCTTCACTTCTTGTACATTTTAATATTTACGGACGAGGTCCGAGGTTATCTATCATTAGTGTCCCAGTCGTATTGCATGTAGCATGATGCTCCCTTAAATTGAAGTAAACTCCTCTTCAGGTCGCTCCATAGTATGTAAAGCATTGACTGTAAAGGAAGTGGTTTGTGAAGTTGTGCAGTGCATAGCTTCATTTCTGCTAGTTGTGGCTCACACGCACACAACTCTCTAATCCCTTGATGGATCTCTTCCCTGTGTCTGCAGGCATCATGGTGCGCATGAACGTTCTCGCGGATGCCCTGAAATGCATCAACAATGCTGAGAAGCGTGGGAAACGCCAGGTCCTCCTCAGGCCCTGCTCCAAGGTTATTGTGCGCTTCCTCACCGTCATGATGAAGCACGGTGAGTGACTGGTTGTTCTCTGCTTTGAGTGAGGGGTGTTTTGGTATTATGAGACACTACGCTAATAATTTGGCCGTGTGAAAGTGACAGTGCTGTGTTCTGGGCATTATATTTGCTGTTGTAAAGCTAGAAGGAAATGCAAGTTACAACAGAGTGTATAGTTGGTGACTGGATGGTCAACATTTAGCAGAAAAGGTTTTTAAAGAACGATAATGGCTGTAGAGTTTAGTGTCTCAATGAAATCATTAAGTGTTATACTTAATAATGTTGTTCTTTGTCATTTGTACCTCCAGGTTACATTGGTGAGTTTGAGATCATTGACGACCACAGAGCCGGAAAAATTGTCGTCAATCTCACAGGCAGGCTGAACAAGGTAAACTGTCTGCGTTGAGCCAGCTGTAACACTGCTTGTAACAAGATTTCAATTAAATGCAATGTTGAATCAACTGTCTGCATTACACATGAATTGCACTACAAATTAAAACATTTAAAGCTCTATTGCAGCTGTTTGAAACTGTTCTGTCACGTCTGCTCTTCCAAATGATATAAGCAAGCCTCTAGAAGCAGCTACTTTAATTAAACTCACTGCTTTAAAGAGGGGAGTGCAACAGGGGAATACTGAAGCTGCCACAGATTGTACATCTTACAGTATTTAACTTCACGCCTGAATCTGAAGTGTTAACCGGTGTGTTTTTGTGTCTTTCAGTGCGGCGTGATCAGTCCACGTTTTGATCTCCAACTCAAGGATCTGGAGAAGTGGCAGAACAACCTGCTGCCATCAAGACAGTTTGGGTAAGAATCATATTCACCAACGTGTGTGTGTATATTGTTTTATATATGTTATATGAAATACACACACACACCCACAATAAACCCAACCTGAATGTTGGCAGTGATGTAGTGCTGACCCCACTGGACCCTTTATGTCCTCCAGTCCTCGGCTTGTGTTCATGCTCGTCTTGTCTGCTTGGTGGTCCTGTGTGGCTGCTTTGGAAAATTTGGTTAATTTAGTTTCCCCTCAAGAGATTTGATGATTTTGAGAATCCCAGTTTGCCGTATATTAGAATGATTTTAATGTAAGTAGCTCCTTCTGTTTTTTTATTCTTTAAATTGAAACCGTTTGTAAACTGAAGTCGTTGAATCTTCAGACTGCATTCGTCATAACGGTAATTTTATCTTGGAAGAACATGGACGTTGCTTGTCACTGGATTGATCTGTTAGTTTGTGTTCGTGTGACTTTTGAAGTCAAATTAATTCGGCGTTCACTTAACTGTACATTCCTTAACTTCGTGCAGGTTCTCCTGTCTGCTTCTCAAAGCCGTTACTGTGTAACATTACTACACAGACTTTAAGGATGTTTGTGTTTATACGGTGCAGCAGGATGTGGGAAAAATAGCATTTTGATAAAACATTTGTATTTAGACCAAAATGTGAGTACTTGGATTTAAATAATGTGAACCCACATGCATGTGTACCGAGGCAGCATGTGCTGTGGTCCAGACTAAAACTTAGGCGAGTCGTTTCTTCCTTTATTTGGGAAGTTTTAGAAGCACCGATGCTGCAGTTACAGAAATCCAACAAGTTGTTCTCTCTATGCCAGAGAACCCTGAATAATGGACCTGCCCGTTAGTTCTTAGCATAACTTTTTTGTGTGTTCAAGACACCATTGACCACTGTTAAAAGTAATTTAGTTCAGTACTACATTATGTTGGAGTAGGTGCTAGTCAGAGGCTGTATGTAGGCGTGAGTGATGGGAGGAAGTCATTGTTTCCTGCTCTGTAGATGCAGAAT